TGGAAAGTGAATTTGCTCTGTAAATTTTCACCCAAATCCCAATTGAAAAAAAAAAAAAAAGAAAAGAAAAAAAGAGTAGGCTCTGAATCCAGTGCCTAGCTCCACTACTGGGTGTGTGACCTTGGATTGCCTATCAGTTTTCTCATCTGTAAAATGTGAAGGAAAAAACTATCTTATATAGAGTAGTGAGGGGAGTTCATTTGTTTAAAGCCCCAATTACTTATGCCTGGCTTATTAGCAAGCACTCAGTAAATACTACGGAACCTGTAGAACCGGTGATCTGCAAAACGCTTTCGCATCCGGTATCTCGTCTAAGAAATGTAGCTGTCTTATGAAGTATTACCATCTTACAGAGGATAAAGTTCGGGCTAAGAGTGACTTATCACGGGTCATGAGCCAGCCTGACTCCTGACCAAAACTCGTACCCCTTGCTGCCCATCCCTTGCTTTTCCCTCTCCAGCAGCCTGAACGAAAACTCATTTCCCTGTGAGATAGGTTACCTGGGGGGCAGGGTTCCGGACGCGAGCGGCGGCAGCCAGGGTCCCCAGGCTCAGAGAGCCTAGAGTGCGGGTCAGCGCCCGTAGGGCCATGAAGGAGGGCGAACCCGCTGGGCTCAGCACACCACCCTTACCTTTTGCCCGGCCGCCTGGCGCTTCTGGATGACGATAACTGCTCCTGGTGCTGTCACTCCCAAATTACGTATAAAAAGGCGGGCAGAAAAGGGGGCAGCCCCGCCGCCCTCCAGCCAAGCTGGATACACACCTCCCCTGCTCCCTGGGCTTGGTCAGAGCCAATCGCCGGCGTCACTTCGGTAGCGTGACTGGGGAACAAACCCCTCCCCTGAGAGCCGTCAAAACAATTGCCTCGAGCGGCAGCCATGATGGATTTAAAGGGGCAGTATTGGCAAGGGCTGCAGCCAGACTGAAAGACTGCTGGTGAGTCTTTGAGGGTATCCGGGGTTGAGGCTCGAAGGTCCCATCACTTTTTGTTTCTGCACTCCTGGACAGATGAACAAATCCCCTCCAACTGACCTTGCACGACTCTAGACAGACTCAAAAACTCCGCCCTTCGCGGTTCTTCCCCGCCCCTTGGCGTCCAGAAAGACAGACGGCCTGCCCCGCCCCCTGCGACTGCCTGACTCACAGACCTCTGGCTCGTCGGCCGCGGGGTCTCCACCCGCGATGCCAATCTCGCCGTCCATTAGCACCTCCCGGTCCCCGCCCCTGCCCACCTCACCCCACCCCCACCTTGGGCCCTCAGGGCAGGTCGACAGCCTGGGACATTCTTCAACCCCATTCCTAGTCCCGGAAGACCAATTCCCAGCGCGGCGTTTCCTTGTGACCCTGCAGCCGCGCAGCAGACTTGCCATTCTTCTCTAAATCATCAGGGGTTTGGAGGCACCCTAAGGTGACTCTTTTCAGAGCCTGTTAGTAGGTGATCATGACAGAGAGCAGGGAGTTACCCCAACTTGGCTCCGGAGAACAAAGCTATGGAAATGACTGGGTTGGGAGTGACCAGGTGTTGCTTCTCACCTTTTCCCAGACATGCTTCTTGCCTTAGGTCTCTGATAAGTCCCTCACGCCCTTCTTGGGATAAATTAGTCCCCCAGGCCTGGGGTGGAAGGCTGGCTCGGGGGAAGGAGGAATATTAGTTGTGTTTGAAAACCTGTAGCAAAGAGTGGGAGGGTGTTTGTCCTGGGTGGGGCTCTGTGCTAGGTCCTGTGGGTGGCTGTGAGTGGTGAGAGGGGGTGGAAACACTGGACTCCTGGACTTTGGGCAGGGCAGATCTTTGGCTGCTAAGCAGAGTTTCTTCCGGGCTCTGGTCTGAGCTCCGCCTCCACAAGCCAAGGAAGCGCTCTTCTCTGTATACAGGTAAGAGAATTTCAAAAGTGAGAAATAAGACCTTTTTGAGAAGGTGCGAAGCCAGCCTGAGACCCTGGAGATGGAAAGTGTGGGTTGAAGGCTTGTAGGGAAAAAGGCAAGACTGACCCACCTTAGAGATGCTGGGCTTAGCTTTGTGGATGACCCAGCCTAAGGGCCATCTCTTCTGAGGCCATCTCACATGGATCCTGCGATGATGGCTCTCACTTTCTTCTTTTCCCTCTCTTCTCTGATATAACTTTGAAACTTTTAACTCTATTCCTTTCCTTTTTTGAAAGCTTTGTACTATCTTCTGTATAAGCCAAAGCACCCCAAACTCACTGCCGTGGAGTCGGATCTGACTCATAGCGACCCCTCCTTGGGTTTCTGAGCCGGTATCACTGTGGAAGTAGATTGCCCAACCTTCCTTGTGAGGAGTGGCTGGTGGATTTGAACCGCCATCCTTCTGGTTAGCAGTCAAATGCCTTAGGCACTATGCCACCAGAGCTCCTATTTTCTGCTTATCACTTGTCTATTCTAACCTTCTTCTGTTTGTTGTTGTTGTTGTTGGGTGCCATCAAGTCAGTTCCAACTCATAGTGACCCCATGTGACAGTAGATATGACCCATGAGGTTTTCTTGACTGTAATCTTTATGGAAGAAGATCACTAGGTCTTTTTTCCATGGAGCCCTTGGGTAGTTCCACCCTTTTGGTTAGCAGCTGAGCACTTAACTGTTGCACCATCTCTGTGTTCACTTTGTAGCCTTCCCCAAACACCGCCTCCTGTAGTGCTGTCTCTTGCCCCCTGATTCCTTTTCCTGACCAAGCTCTCTTCTTTCCATATCCCTTTCTGCTCTATTGCTAAATTTTAAATTCCATTGGTAGTTTTAAGTACTTTTTTTCCTTCTAGTCTTTTTTTTTTTTTTAATTCAACTCAATTTCTCTTCCTCCCTCTTTGCCCACATCCTTAGCTTTGCATTTAGTTGTTGTAGGCTCTCTCTCCACTCATCTCTCTCCCCAGCTAAGCTACAGGTTACCTGTACACTCTCTTGTCCCTTCCCTTGGATCCCCACCCCCTCTAACCATGCCCAAGCTAAGTTTTGTTGTTTCTTCCTAGCCCAGGTGAGGTCCCTTGGCCAGGATGTCGGGCCTGGTGTTGGGGCAGCGGGATGAACCTGCAGGGCACCGGCTGAGCCAGGAGGAGATCCTGGGGAGCACTCGGCTGGTGAGCCAGGGGCTGGAGGCCCTGCATAGTGAACACCAGGCTGTGCTGCAAAGCCTGTCCCAAACCATCGAGTGTCTGCAGCAGGGAGGCCACGAGGAAGGGCTGGTGCATGAGAAGGCCAGGCAGCTGCGCCGTTCCATGGAAAACATCGAGTTGGGACTGAGTGAGGCCCAGGTGAGATGGCTTAAGTGGTGCCAAGAGTGCATCAGGGTGGATGGAGGAGCAAGTGTCAGACTAGAGTCTGATTGGAGGCTTGAGGCCACATGGAATCCCCGTGTCCTATATATGTACATTCATTTGTTCAGTAAATATTTATTAAGTCCCTACTGTGTGCTAGGCATTCTGCTGGGCACTAGAGCTACATCAGTCAATACAATCAAAACTCTTCACCATCTTGGAGCTTACATTTCCTCTAGGAGAGACAGACAATACACAAATAAATAAGCACATGATTCAGTATGCCATATTTCTCAGGATCAAGATAATGCAGTATAGGGAGTTATAGTATATGTGGAGAAGACACAATTTTAGGTTAAAAAGAAAAAAAACTTATTGCTTGGGAGTTCATTCTCACAATGACGGTAAAGGACATAGTAGAGCTGCCCCCTAGGGTTTCCAAGGCTGTAAATCTACAGAAGCAAACTGCAACAACGTTCTCTTGTAGAGCAGTTGATGGGTTTGAGCCACCAACCTTCCTGTTAGAACTCAGCTCTTAACCACTGCACCACCAGGGTTCTTTGATTTTAGATTGGGTGATCAAAAAAGATCTCCCAGAGAAGGTGCATCTGAGCAGAAAATCAAAGGTGAGGGAGTAAATCATGCAATAACTAGGGGAAAAGCTGTGGAAAGGCCCTGAATGGAGTTTGGCGAGTTCAAGGATCAGTGAGGAGCCAGTGTGGCTGGAGAAGAGTGAATGAGGGGAAGCAAAGTAGAAAATGAAGTTCAAGAGGTGATGAGATGAGAGGAGACAGATCATGTGGAATTTGGGAGACATATAGACTTTGCTTTTACTCTAGATGAGATGGACACTCTTGGGATGTGTTGAGCAGAGAAGTGATGTGGTCTGATTTAACATTTTAAAAGAATCTATCTGACTGCTGATTTGACTTCAGGAGAACAAGGGCAGAAGCAGGGAGAGCAGTGAGGAAGCTGTTGTAATCTGGTGGGAAACGATGGTGGCTATTGTTTCAAGGGTGGTGGCAGTGTAGGTAGTGAGAAATTGGAGTCAGGGTCCATTTTGAAGGTGGATCCATTGCTGCCAATTCCAGCATGGATTATACCTCCTAGCTTCTCTCTGCCCCTACCAGTCTTGCAACCCCCAGCAGGCTTCTTTCCCACTTGCCCTTGAATGCTCCTGTCCAGAGTCTGGAGCTCACAGGATGTACCCCCTAGGTGATGCTGGCTCTAGCCAACCACCTGAGCACAGTGGAGTCGGAGAAACAGAAGCTGCGGGCTCAGGTGCGGCGGCTATGCCAGGAGAACCAGTGGCTCCGGGATGAGCTTGCGGGCACCCAGCAGCGGCTGCAGCGAAGTGAGCAGGCCGTGGCTCAGTTGGAGGAAGAGAAGAAGCACCTGGAGTTCCTGGGACAGCTGCGGCAGTATGACGAGGATGGGCACACCACGGTGAGTAGCAATGCTGGTTTGGAGCAGGTGTCACCATGGACATAGGGCAATTGGCCCCTCATCCATGGGGCCAGCAGCTCTGCCCGGCCTGCCCCAAGCTGGCAGAATTCCTTTTTCAGGCCTGACATCTCCAGATGCCAGTGAGGGGGAACCAGTATTCACTCACTCAACCAACGTTTTAGTTGAATGCAGTGAAGGAGGCAGGTGCAGTCCCTGCTCTCACAATTACAGATTTGGGAGGTGCAGATAAAACTGCAGTGGTGGAAAGCTGGTATGTCCCAGAGAAAGTGAGGAGATGATTTGCATAGAACACATCCTGGTGAAGCTGGCCAGAAGGGCTAAAGACACAAGTGCCTGAACAATTCCTATTCAAATCCTAAGCACTACAATGGGGGAAAACATAGCTTAGATGAATCTGCTCTACAAACATGAAAAATTTAGCCTTCACTTAACAGGCATTTTTATAGTTCTGTGCCTTATGCAAAGTGAGAAGATATGTGGAGAGGGGATGTAAGGAACTATAAAAGAGAGTTTCTGCCTTCTTGAGCTTATAATGAAGGTGCAGGGATAAGGTTTGCACGTGAGAACACGTATGTGACAGTTTGAAGCAGCAAGTGCTCAGGGTTGGTGAGTGGTCCAGTCAGTATGGTAGGAATTCCAAGGAGATAGGTCACTGAGTGCAGAGAGGTCTGCACAATCACAGAGGAGGCGGGGCACAAGGATGTGGAGGGTTTGGACTGGATTTTCTGCTTGAGTGGGTTTAGAGCTGGGATGGATTTTGATGGGTGGTAAGGAAGAGGGGGAATCCCTGGGTAGTATGAATGGTGAATGCACTCAGCTGCTCACCAAAAGGTTGGAGGTTCAAGTCTACCCAGAGGTGCTT